CCTCCTGTCCGCGCTTCAGTTGCTCTTCGAACCGATGAGCCTGTTCCTCCTGTCGGCGGGCCTGTTCCTCCTGTCGGCGGGCCTGCTCCTGCAGTATCACCATCAGGACGCCTAAATCTGGTGCTGCAGATGCAGGAGCTACTGACGGACCGGCCTCCGTTGCCGGCGGCTGGCCCTCCGACGTCTGCGGCGATGCACCACCAAATCTTCTCTGGTCCGTCTCATGCTGGCGTTGACTGCGGGTACGAACACCCTCCGTTTCCTCCTTAGGTAAAATCGGCATGATTTTATCCCACTTCTGACACCAATTGTCACGAGATTGAGGTTCGTGACAATAAAAACTGCCGATTGAATTACCAAAATTTACACTTTTATTATCGAACACCAATTAAACTTAAAACACTAATAATTAATCACACTGATTCACTTTATTTCGCTCCGAAGCATAGCTTATCTCGCCATATTCAATACTGCCCCGATCGCATCTTGCAGCGCCTATTTATATAATTAGCAAAGAAGCGTCCCGAACATTCAAGTAAATGCGCGCCAGGCAACGAGTATTCGAGTGTAGATTTTCCAGAAACTTAGTTCTTCAGGTGGCGCTGTCGGTCGAAAGATTTGTGATGTCATTTTCTGCAACGCTCCCCTCGTTCTCGTTCTTGACACTAGATGGCGCTAGTGTGCCGATTTTAGCGCGTAACAATATGATGTTGCGGGAAAATTATTTTAACCTCTTAACCCGGTGTAGACAATTATTTCATCAATTTTTGATAGGCATGTATGTGAAGGTAGAAAGTGAACGTCTCCGTTATATATTTTTAAATAAAAAAAACTGCGCGTTGAGAATTATATACATTTACAAGATGCAGTTTCTAGCGACGTCAATGTAAACCCCAGAGATTTAGGTAAAATGGTAATTCTGCCCTCATCATTCGTTAACAGTCCCCGCTACCTACATGAGTACACACAAGACGCAATTGCCTATGTACGAACTTACGGAAGAACTGATCTTTTTGATACTTTTACTTGCAATCTCACATGGAGAGAAATAACCGAGGAGCTAATGCCGGGCCAAAAAAGTACTGACAGACACGATTTAGTTGCTAGAGTATTTATTTTAAAAGTACAAAAATTAATGTATGTAATTAACAAAAGGGAAAATTTTCGGAGAGGTGCAGTGCTTCATGTATTCAATTGAACGGCAAAAAAGAGGATTACCGCATGCCCACATTCTAATATGGCTTAAAGAAAAGTTGCGGCCAAACCAAATAGACGACATAATAAGCGCCGAGTTTCCCGATCCTGAGCAAGATAAAGAATTGTATGATACCATCGTCCGAAATATGATTCATGGTCCATGTGGAGCACGAAATTCAATATCGCCGTGTATAAAAGGAGGAAAATGTACAAAGAAATTCTCTAAACAGCTATTAAATGAAACAGTGCACAATGACAATGGCTACCCTTTATACAGACGCAGAGCTCCCGAAGATGTTGGTCAGGAAAGTTACAATCAAATCTCGCTCTGGAGCGTTTGAAACCTTAGATAACAGCTGGATTGTCCCGTATTCGCCCATTCAATGTAAAATGTTTAATACCCACATTAATGTAGAAGCATGTAGCTCTGTCCGTGCAATTAAGTATATCTGTAAGTACATAAATAAAGGAAGCGATCAAGCAATATTTAATCTCAGGAGTGAAGGTGAGGCAAATCCCGTTAATGAAGTACAGACCTTTCAAGCAGGGCGTTATGTCAGCAGTAATTTCATTTCATTTCATTTCATTTATTCAAGCAACCAAAGCTCATATTTTGTTAGTATTACTTATAAACTAAACTTATAGCTATGTTAGTAAGCATAATATTATTATTACATATAATTATGTGAAGTATTAAAAAAAAACATTTATATTTATATGTGCCATTTTCTCACCAATCCACCCGATATGGCGCTACAATGGCACATGTATAGGCAGTCCAGCCTGCTAGCAATCACTTTCAGGATACTATTGTTACTCCCCCGCACCCTGCGCACCAGAGACGCGCATCTCTTGCGCATGGTCGCGTAAAAGCAGTCCACTCGCGCTTCCGCGAACATCCCTGATGCACTACAGAAGCGAGGCAGTCCCAGCAGCACCCTAAATGCGTTGTTGTATTGTACTCGGAGGGCGTTGTAAGCCTTTTGAGTATATCTAGCCCACAGGCTGCACGTGTAAAATGACGTGCAGTAAGCTCTAAATAGGGCTATTTTAACTTCCCTTGAACAGCGTGCAAACCTGCGAGCTTCCATGTTCGCTCTTACTGACAACGCCCTCCGTTCCCTCTCAATGTCATCATCATCCCTGAGACGAGGAGTCAGAACATGGCCAAGATATTTATACCTGAACGCTCTTTGTAAAGTATTACCATTAATTGAAATAGATGGTACTAAGTCATGTCTCTTACTCCCGGTCTCAAAGACCATGACGTGGCTCTTTTTTACATTATAATTCAGACCATGTGTGAGGGCGAAAGCTTCACAAATCTTCACCAATCTTCGTAGCCGCATATAGATGCACTCAGCAACACCATATCATCTGCGTAACTGATGTTGTTGACGCAGACATCGTCTATGTGACAGCCGACTCTGATGCTGTTGAGCTCACCTATCAGCTCATTCACATACAGGTTGAAGAGCGTGGGTGAACTCAAACCCCCCCGTCTCACCCCGCACTCCAAACTGTATGATCTAAATAGGGCACCTTCCCATCTCACATTATTGACCTGGTTCCCCTACCAATATTTGAAAATACTTATGAGTTTTAAAGGTAGTTGGATCTTCTCCAGTTTATCCCACAGTAAGTCGTAGGACACAAGGTCAAAAGCCTTTGACAGGTCTAAGAAACAAGCGAAGACTGGCGTTTTGCGTGCCGTGTAGTAAGTGACAGTGTGCTTAAGACACAACACCGCGCTTTCTGTAGACAATTTCGGTCTGAACCCAAATTGACTGTCGTATGGTTTTATGTATTTATTTAATTGCGAATTAAGCACACTATCGAACACTTTTGAAATGACAGTTGCTAACGATATAGGTCTATAGTTGTTTTTATCCGCGAGATCGCCTGTTTTATTCTTCACTATAGGCACTACAACCGTACGTATCATGTCAGGGGGCATGTATCCATGTCCTAGGCAGAGATTAAATAATAAATAAAGTACCCTAGGTAGGTGCGGGCCAGCAAACTTGAGATGTTCGATACTGAGCCCATCGTGGCCAGGGGATTTACCTCTAGACATAGATTTAACTACCTGATCTATTTCTTTAATTGTAAAAGTTATTTTCTTTTCTTTGTTATGCACCGTATTTAGTAACGAGCGTGAAGCCCCAAGAGGAGATTTAACTGCAAAATGATCTACGAATAAGTTGGCAATTTTCTCAGGCTCACTTACACCACTAATGCTCACGGGCAGGCCCGGTTTACATTGTAACCTATTGGTAAGTTTCCAAAAAGAGCGAAAATCATTTTTCGACTGATGTGAAGCTAGAATATCCATCCTAACTTGATTTTCGTGATCTTGACACCACTTTAAGCGAGATTTGAATATTTTTCTAGCTTCACACATTTCCTCATATATGGTACCGGAAGTAGGTTTACCATGCCACTCCCACAGGTGGAACTTTAACCTGGCCCTTCGATGTGCTTCCGCAACATGCCTGTTCCAGCCCACAACTACCTTATTTTTCGATTTTTTACAGTTACGTCCTACTACGGAGGACGCCTTTAGAGCCGTTACAATATTTTTATACAAATTATCAATAACAATTCTATGACTAATATCAGAACACATGTTATCGCTACATTTATGCAATTCATTTGGGTAGTCAATGAGCCGTAACTTTTTATGACATTCATTCCGATATATGTTTATTTGTTCAGGCGTCCTCTCCCCCCCAAAAAACTATATTCTTACTAATACAGTTAGGTAATTTTACAGGCGAAACGATATTTAAATTACATTCTATTACAAGTGGGTTGTGGTCTGACCAAAACACATCATAAATAACATAGACATTTTGTATGGACTTTATCGCCGCTTTAGTCACCAGACAGTGATCTAACCACCTCTTCGACCCATGGACATCACTAACAAATGTATACGTATTAGATGATATACCTAACATATCAATATCAATGCAAGACCACTTTTGATCAATACAAAAGCTCGATAATTCGTTATAAAATCGTTCATAGGGATGAGCATTAAAGTCCCCCAGTATATACACACAGTCTATGCTACAGCTGTCTACAATGGCACTCACCGAACTAAGTAAATCCGTAAACTCCACCATGTTGACTGCCTCGTCTGTTGGCATGTACACGCACATCACTAAAAATGACCTTTCTTTTGAAATTATTTTAATAGCACATATACGCGGGTTATCACACTTAATAACGGTAACATCGTTAAAAACGCTACGCCTCCACAGCAGAGCTACACCTCCGTATGGTCGCCCCCTTATCAGGTCCGCCTTTGTGTCCATCGCCGACACTCCCGTATAGCTGAAATCCTTACTTATGGTGTTCAGAAAATCAATTTACTCTGTGAATAACCATGTCTCTTGTAATGCTATAATGTCATAATTCTTACAAAGATCGCGTATGTTATCTATGGAGCGTTTCACGTTTTTACAATTAAAAGTAACAAATCTGTATGTATTATTATCCATTATTTATTTATTTAAATTTGTGGCGCCGTCTTCTTTACCAGAAGTTTCAGTTTTACGCTTTAGTTTGAAATTAATAAAGCGACGGAAAATTATGCCTTGTGGCCATATTTTCTCATCCAAAAACAATGATAGTTTATTTTGTGCCACGAAGAATTTATATGCGTTGTAGTCACATTGACGCCTGATGGATATTTTTTCTAACTTGACCGTCTCCTGTGTCATCTTGTTGATATATCGAACAATGTCTGCTTCGGAAGTATTTTTATGCACATTGGTTATAAACAGAGGAGTTTTTCATTCCGCTGCTCTAAACATCTCATCCGGTTCTACCACAGCTATCCCTGATTTTCCTTCAACGCGATTTTTGGACTTCTTTCCCTTCCTCTGAACAACTGTCCACTCATTATTAGACTTTAAAATCACTTGCGCATACGACTCATTATCCGTCGTTCCAAAGCCAGCTGACTGGTGGTTACGCGACAGCCGATTACGGTCACTTACGATAGGCTGTGACTCATCGCGGTTCGCGTCGTCCCTGCGACAATCCGTCACTGAGCCAGGCGTTTGTTGAAATGTTGCATCAGATAATTTTTTACTACTGCCCTCAGACTGCTTTTCGTTAATTTTTATATTTTTTAAACTATACTCCTTATCTGTTGAAGGTTCACAGCTCGGTTTGCCTTCACTACTATTAACAGTCGACTCATCGAAATGCGATAACCCTATAGGGCCGCTGTCACGATACGTGCCTCTCTTGATGTTGATCTTAGCCGCTGAGAAAGGTGGCGAGTTATTTTTAAAATTACATAACTCTTTCTTTATATCCTCCAGCTGCTCAACCGTTACGTACGTCGATTTAATCTCCTTAATTTCAGACTGTATCCGTACAAGATCTTTTACAAACTTGGAGACATCTAAGTGGTCGAAAGTTATAGGTGGTAGCTTCTCAAGGTCCCTAGCTACAAAAATAGGGAGCTTATCAGGATCCGTGACTTTAAAAAACTTGAGTATGTCATACAGCACTCGATTATCCTTTCCTTTTCCTTTACGCACAATTTTTCGTAGCTCGGAAGGTACCGATTCAAATAATAACGTATGGGATTTTTGAATTTCTTCGCTCGTAAAAGATGATGCACAAATTTTAACCAAGCTTTCTTCGTCAGCTATCGATATTTTATTATGTACATAAGACAGAAGCTCGTCAATTACGATATTACAGCTAACGCACTTCACTGTACTCGACATTTTTACTCCTAACACAATTTCGTAATCGATCACAAGTGCGTCACGGATAGATACGCGCGCGGAACTGAGTAGTAATGAGGCAGCGTGGCGTCTCCTTGGCTTCCGTTTACACGAAAGGCACCCAACAGTTACTCACCTTGCTGTGCACTTAGAAAATTGAGAGCGTGTATATTTCACCGAAAGAAAATTTTCAAGAAAGTAATGCATTACCGCCGAAAACTATACTAACAGCCTTCTTTCAACTTTGTCAAACCGACCCCTTTGCAAAAACGTTGTTATATTCTGAAGTCCCCCACTATTATACTTGGAACACATCTAGGAAAGTGTGGAAACGCCATATTAAAGGCGCGCCTGTTGCAAATTGACCCGGTGTAAAGTCATCAGATACCCTTGGTCGTGTGTACACCGTCGATGTAACTAATTTTGAATGTTTCTGTTTACGAATACTGCTGCACCATGTTCGGGGTCCTACAAGATATAAAGACCTTAAAACTGTCAACGTTTAGGAATGCGCAACTTATAGAGAAGCATATAAATCTCTGCATCTTTTAGAAAACGAAAATCACTGGGATGAAACCATGGAGGAAGCTGTGCAGTGCCAGTCAACAGCCAAAATTAGGGATCTTTATGCAACTCTCATATCATCTTGCGGGCTATCTAATGCACAATAATTGTGGAACAAATATAAAGAGTACATGGCGGAAGATATTTTGCGAAGGTTACAGCAGACACACGCGAACATGACATACAATGAACACATTTATAATGAAGCACTTGGAAAAAATGAAGATAAAGTAATGGCAATGGTAGGCAAAAAATTAAGCGACTTTAGAATGATAAGCCCTCAGCGAACAACCGAAAATGAACTAAGTGATAAAAATATACGTGAAACAAACTACGATATAGCAGCTTTGCAGCAGCAAGTAGCCGAATTCGCACCCAGCTTGCTTCCCGAACAAAAACGAGTTTTTGACAAAGTATTAGGACAAATTGAATCTGGAAATGGTGCACTTTTCTTTTTAGATGCCGCTGGAGGAACTGGGAAGACATTTTTGTTAAATTTATTATTAGCGCAAGTACGGAAAGATAAAAACATTTCTGTGGCGTAGCTTCCTCCGGTATTGCCGCCACGCTGCTAAGCGGAAGCCGCACTGCACATTCTGTTTTAAAACTCCCTCTAAATTTAACCCAGGAAAAATTTCCGATCTGCAACTTTAGCAAAATAAGTGCACGAGGTATAATGCTACGACAATGCAAACTTTTAGTGTGGGACGAAAGTACAATGTCGCATAAAAAATCTGTAGAAGCACTAAATCAAACGCTCCAGGATTTGCACAGCAATACCGATGTAATGGGAGGAATGGTGGTTTTACTGGCTGGTGACTTTCGCCAAACTTTACCTGTCATTCAAAAGGGCACACGTGAAGATGAAATTAAAGCATGCCTCAAGTCGTCTATTTTATGGATCAAGGTGACAAAATTCAGTTTAACTACGAATATGAGAGTGTATTTGTATATATCAATGCTGGAAACTATGCTGACATACTATTAAAAACTGGCAATGGGCGGTTGGAAACGGATTCTGAGGGCTGCGTTAAATTGACGAGAGATTTTTGTTATTTAGTACAGAGTCATTCCGAATTAACTGCGAGCGTTTAGTCAGATTTAACGAACAACATGCATGAAGACAGATGGTCATGTGAAAGGGCGATTCTTGCACCAAAAATGAGAGCGTTAACAAAATAAACTCAGATATATTAAGCGAAGTAGTAGGAGAAATAACAGAGTATTTATCAGAAGACACAGTTATGGACACAGAACAGAGCACTTCATATCCCGCAGAGTTTCTAAATTCTCTAGAGTTGTGAGGTGTGCCCTCACATAAGCTTCAATTAAAATTAGGCGTCCCAGTCATGCTAATGCGAAATTTAGATGCTCTTCGGTTATGTAATGGGACAATGCTATATATGACACATCTTGGGCGAACATAATCGGTGCTACAATTTTGACAGGCGTAGGAAAAGGTGAAAATGTTATACCACGGATCCCTATAATTCCCACAGATCTTCCTATTCAATTCAAAAGCTTGCAGTTCCCTATTAAGCTCAGTTTTTCAATGACAATTAATAAAGCGCAAGGGCAAACGTTACAGGTAGCGGGGGTCAACTTAGAAAAACCGTGCTTCTCTCATGGTCAGCTGTATGTAGCATGTTCGCGTGTGTCAAATGCCCAGAATCTCCACATTCTTTCCCCAAATGGAAAAACATATAAGATTGTATACAGTACCGTCTTAAAATAGTGTAAAGTTAGTTTTTTTTTTCAAAATTCCCACAATCAATTAATCAGAATTCACACAGATCTTCCCTTTCAATTCAAAATTTCCTATTTAGCTCAGTTTCTTTTCAATTCCAAATGCTGCACTCTGACGGACCTATTAAGCTCAGTTTCCTTTCAACTCAAAAGGCTGTATCTCTGACGGATCTTTTATTTGTCTCAGTTTCCTTTCAATTCAGAAAACTGCATCTCTGACGAATCAATTTAACTCAGTTTCTTTTCAAAAGTCTGCATCCCTGACGGATAATTATGCTCAGTTTCCTTTAATTAAAAAAATATCCCATTTCCATTTGGAATAAACAGGCTATTTTCATGCTTTCCTATACGCTGCGTTTCAAAACATTTAAATAGGCTGACGAATCAATTTTGCTCAGTTTCCTTTTAATGGCTGCATCTCTGACAAATCTATAAAACTCAGTTTTCTTTCAATTCAAAAAGCAATGGATAGATCATTTCCCAGTGACCATGCGGGTGAAGCCGTGGGTAACAGCTAGTTCAATCACAAAACATGTTTGTAACTCAACATCGTAAGACACCCGATCGTGCATGAACTCCGGCAGAGGGGCCCTCGATAACGTATCGGCAATATACATATACTTGCCTGGAATATACACCACCTTGAAAACGTATCCCTGTAACATTCAGGGTTGGACACAGAAAAATAAAATAAGACACGATTTAAATTCACTAAAGAATAATTTATCATATAGCAATAATTTAAATTCAAACAGACAATGAAGACCTTTAAAAACATTGGTACTTATAAGCTACAATAATACAAAAAAATTAAAATAAATTAAAATAATACAAGATACAAAAAAACGCCATGAAATAATTTCTCTGTCGATGCCCCCCTTGGCTCCTTGGATCATTGTCTCGACCGGAGTGTAATGCCACTCACGCTAAAATCGCGGTTGCAGTCTGCAGGCTGCTGCCGTGTTTGGCAGTATAGGTCCGCCGATTGGGATAAGATGCGGTCTTTTTTTGCATTTCATCCATGAGGGATTCCACAATCGAGGGGAGAATGTCATCATCATTACAGCCCTTCACAAGTCCACTGCTGAACATAGGCCTCCCCTAAGTAACGCCACAAAGCACGGTCCTGAGCCACCTGCATCCATCGACTTCCTGCATGTCTTACCAAGTCGTCATTCCATCTAGTGGGGGATCGCCCTACACTACGCCTACCGATACGAGGCTGCCACTCGAGAACCTTTCTTCCCCATCGGTTATCGGTTCTTCGAGCTATATGGCCGGCCCATTGCCACTTCAGCTTATTAAGCCGTTGGGCTATGTCGGTCACTCTGGTTTTACTGCGGATATCCTCATTTCTGAGTCTATCACACAGAGAAACTCCGAGCATAGCCCTCTCCATAGCTCGCTGAGCGACCTTGAGCGTCCTCATACGGCCAGCAGTGAAGGACCACGTCTCTGATCCGTAAATCGTCACTGGCAACACGCACTGGTTGTACACTTTAGTTTTCAAAGATTGAGGTATACCTGACGAGAAGATGTGTCGTAATTTCCCGAACGCTGCCCAGCCGAGTTGAATCCGTCGATTGACCTCTCGGTCGAAGTCGGACTTACCTAGTCGGACTATTTGTCCCAGGTAAACGTACTCGTCAACAACTTCGAGCATAGTGCTCCCCACAACTACCGGCATAGGTAGGGACATGGACATTAAACATGATCTTTGTTTTGTCCATGTTCATCTTAAGACCTATCCGTTGGGAGACACCATTGAAGTCATTAAGCATAGTGCTAAGGTCGTCCAGCGATTCTGCCATAAGGACTATATCGTCGGCAAATCGAAGGTATATAAGGATGTACTCGCCATTGATGTTAATACCGTATCCTTTCCAGTCCAGTAGCTTAAAAGCGTCTTCCAATGCAGCGGTGAAGAGTTTCGGGGATATAACGTCACCCTGTCTTACACCTCTCTGCAGTTGGATAGGTTTCGAGCTCTGATTCTGTACTCGGATAGCCATTGTAGCCCTACTGTACAAACACTTCAGTACCTCGATATAACGACAGTCAACTTGGCACCGCTGAAGGGACTGTAGCACCGCCCAAATTTCGACGGAATCAAAGGCTTTCTCATAGTCCACATACGCCAGGCAAAGTGGCAGATTGTACTCTTCGGTCTTCTGTATAATCTGCCGCAGGGTATGTATGTGGTCTACGGTACTGAAGCCTTTTCGGAAACCGGCTTGTTCGGGAGGCTGGAAGTTGTCGAGTCTGCGTGCGAGACGAATCGTAATGACTCGAAAACAGCACATAGACGCGGCTCAGAAGGGAAATCGGTCTGTAGTTCTTCAAGAGAGCGTTGTCGCCTTTTTTTAAAGAACAAGACCACCGCACTTCTGCTCCACGCCTCCGGAGTAGTGCCACCATGGAGGACGGAATTGAAGAGCTTCTGAAGGACTTCAAGTACCGGTGTTCCACCCGCTTTCAGAAGCTCCGCTGTAATTCCATCCTCGCCTGGGGCCCTGCCGTTTTTAAGGTGCTGGAGAGCCATTCTAATCTCGCTCAGACTGACGTCCGGGATATCATCGGAATAGTGTCGGGTAAGACTTGCTCTTGGATCGTTACTCACACTTTCGTGTGGCTCCAACGATGATGTGTACAGCTGCCCATAGAACTTCTCAATCTCACTCAAAATCTCAGGTGTCTACGATGCTGCCACAATCAGTCTTCAGCTTTGATAGTTGGCTCTTTCTGGCAGACAGATCCCTGGCAAAGACTTTGGAGCCCTGGTTCCGCTCGATCCCTTCTTTAATACGAGCAGTATTAAAGTTGCGTAAGTCTCGCCGCATGCATTTGGAGATCTGTCTGTTGCTGTCAGTTGCCTGTATGCTGTCAAATCTGTTGACGATTGCAGCCTCATCTCCCGTCTAACAGCCATGAGATTAAGAGTGCGATCGGAGAGTTTTTGTGTTCTTCTGCGGCGGGTCTTGCAGAACTTAGCTCTGACCGCATGGACAGTTTCCACGAGCTTGTCATTCATATCGTCCACTGCATTGCAATCTTCTAGGTACTGAAAGCGGTTACGTAACTCGAGCTGAAAAGTCTCGGGATTCTGGATTAGAGCACGAGGGTGACGGAGCGTTGACTTCATTAGACGAGACCTTTCCAACTTAACCTTTAGGTTCAGTATGCCTCTAACCATTCGGTGATCGCTGCCTGTTTTCACCCTTGCGATCACTGAGACATCACTGAACAGTTGGCGTCTGGTCGTCATAATGAAGTCAATCTCATTTTTTGTCGAACTGTCGGGGCTCGACCAGGTCCACTTCCTGTGGGGCCGCTTCTGGAAGAAAGAGTTCATCATAAAGAGTCCCTCTTTCTCCATAAAATCAGCCAGCTTCTGGCCCCTACAGTTCCGTTGCCCTACTCCAAATTTCCCTAACTTCAGCTCACCGCCTTCTCTTGTGCCTAGTTTTGCGTTAAAGTCTCCCATCAACACCGTGTAGTGGGTTTTGGAGGAATGCATGGCTCTAGAAATATCCTCATACATTTCCTCCACCTCCTCATCGGGATGTGCCGAGGTTGGTGCGTAGACCTGTATGACCTTCAGCGAATACCGTCTGGTGATTCTGAGTATCAGGTACGCGACCCTCGTCGACACACTTCCAATCTTTACAACGTTGTTGACGATAGACTTGTGGACGATAAATCCGACACCTCCTTGGGACAGATGGTCGCCCTCCCGGTGATAGAACAAGTTGCCGGACTCGAGGATTACCGTGTCCTCCCCCTCTCTTCGGACCTCAGA